AACTATCAACATGAAGACAAGAATGGCGGATAGATAGGAAAGGTGCACCAATGGTGACATCAGATTGGCTACTCTCTGAAACTCTAAATAAAGAATCATTGTGGTGTGATTACTCCAGTAGAAACTTCTCTAAATAAAGAACCTAAAAAATAGATTTCAAGTATCAGTGAATCCTATATTAAAAAAAAAAAGTCACAAAGCTTGGCCACACAAATAATTTTCAACAGTGTGCTAGTGAGAAAAACAAAAATGTGCTGAACAAATTTTGTTTCTTCATTAACTTTGAATATATGTGTCAACATGAGAAATTCCCTTTCTTTGTTTTTCTTTGGGAGATGGTAGACAAAATAGGAGAGAACCTGGGTTTTAGGTACAAATCTGGGTTCCGTTTCTGTGGATCTAGAAAACAATAGCTGTACAGCCTTAGAAAAAGCACACCTTCTATTGAGTTTTAATTTATTCAATTATAAAAGGTGGCTTCTCTGGACATTTTAAATATCAGGTGTAATGCAGGTAAGGAACCTGTGGCATAGAAACATTTAATAATCAGTAGCTATTGTTATTAACAGCAAGTTCCAGCTCCTTTTAAAGTTTTTCTCAAATCATTACATTCAGGTTGATTCATGTCAATTTTGTCCATAGAAATTACTCGTTAATTTAGAGGAAAAAAAATCTCACAATATATAGTTTAATTAAAAATATTTTTTCTAGTATTTCCAGTCCTTTAGTGGGGATCTCAACTATACCATACTCAATAAAGCACATAAACCTGTCTCAAAAGAGGTCAGAGTTCACCACAACTCAGATTTTAATTTTTTAAAAGTGCATTGAAAAGTAGAAGAAACATAGAAGCATTTCAATAATCATTATTCCCATTGTCTATTTTCTTTACTTATGTTGGCGCCCCGCAACACCCCTCCCCCCGCTTCGATCCTGGAAAAAAACAACAACCCTTGAAACGATACGACTAGACCCCTCAGAATTATGAGAATTTAATTGCCCGGATTAGTTAGTAGCTAGATGCTATGGATGCGTGTTTGTGTCTTCCCAAATTCATATGTTGAAACCCTAGCCTTCAATTTAGAGGTGGAGCCTTTGGGAGGTGATTCAATTTAGATAAGATCAGGAGGGTGAAGCCCTCATAATTAGTGTCCTGATAAGAAGAGAAAGAGAAGAGCTCTTTCACTCTCTCTCTGTGATGTGAGGGCATAGCAAGAAGATGGCCATGGCCCCCTGTGAACCAGGAAGAGGGCTCTCACCAGAACTCCACCATCTGGTCCCCTGATCACAGACTTTTCAGCCTCCAGAACTAGGAGAAATTAATTTCTATTGTTTAAGGCACCCAGTCTATTGCATGTTGTTAAAGTTGACTAAGATGGTAGGCAATTACTATACAGGAAGGACTTAGTTTTTAAGCAGAGCAAGTGAATGTAAACATAAATCATAGTGAGGTGGTGAATATTGAGGGCTACTAATGATAATAGATAGAGACCTGTGAGAACAGAGCACGTGAGCAGCTAGTCATCATGAAGGACAAATACGATAAATAGGGTAGCAGTTCAAGAACGTGCGTGTAGCAATGCAAAGTATTATTTTGGGAACAGCAAACAGAGATCTACTGATATATTCACTTGTTTTCTCTGGGCCAGGTGGTCAGCCAAATACAGTTAATTGACAGTGAAAAATAAATAAAAATAAATAAGGTTGAAAACTGTCAACACAACAGAAAAAATTAAACGTAAAAACAAATTCAGAAAACAATAGAAACTGGCAACTGTTTGACTGACAGAAGCAAAGATTATTTCAAGGAGTGATGAGAATGAATAGGAACCCCAGACTAAAGAGTTGTTGGTTAAGGATTAATTGCTGTAAGAATAAGAATGACAAAAAGAATAAGAATGACAAAAACAAGGGCAGTCTGACAGTGACATTGTGCGTTATTGTTTGTAAAGAGAAAGTATTTGCATGTGTCATGTAGTTATCAGGACTGACTTTAATTGCTAAACTTAAATCATGCTTCGGATAATATTGCCAAGGGAAACCTCCAGAGGGAACACAGTGGGTCAATATGAGCATGCTTTTCTTTCTTGGTCCTTGGTAATATTTTAGTTCTTCCATAGAAGTGGATGTACACACTATAAACCAGGGGTCAGCAAACTTTGGGATGGAAGAGCCGCCAGGGGTCAGCAAACTGCAGCTCGCGAGCCACATGCGGCTCTTTGGGTACGTACACGTGGCTCTGAAGTAAAAAAATGACAATAAAACTATCATAGTTTCATTTATAAAATTTTTAAAGGATATTATTCACATAATGGTGATTATGTAAAAATATATTTATGGCTCTCGAATAATTTTTAAATTGTTGTGAGGGACAAGATTGGCTCTTCCAGGGGTTGGCAAACTTTTGAGATGGAACGTACCCAGAGAGCTGCATGTGGCTCGCGAGCCGCTTTGCCGACCCCTGTTATAGACTAATGTGTTTAGGTCACCCTGTAGTTCTGAATTAAAGAACAGTAAAAATGTTACTAATCTGATATTCTCTAATGATTACTGCTATCTGAATTTTGCAGGCAAGCTAATCATCTCAGTAGGGACAGAGTATTAAAGTAGATAAACAGTTAACTTGACTTTTTAATCTCGGAATTTAAGCCTCTTGGTCCTTAGTAAACTTATTAGTGCCATTTTCCTCTGTCTTTCTCGTTTTCCTTGACCTTTAGGGCAAAATTATTTCAAATTATCATGGGGTTAATTGGATCACTGTGTAATAAGAAACTTACCTGGATGCTTGGGGTTAGTTTCTACTAGGGTAGCTGGCTCTATAATTATTTATTGTAAACTTAGGGTTGTTGTTTTTTGGGTTTTTTTTGTTTTTTTTTATTCTGATCCTAATCTTTTGGCTGGGAGCAGTTCAGTAGGAAAATACTAATAATTTTGAAATGAGGAAAATATTTTTGCATAAAATAAGTTCCTGGTACAGCTCAGTGCTTAAGGGAAGAAAGGTTTAGTAATACAAAAAAGCAAACAGATATATCACTGCATACTTGGGAGGCAGCTCCCATGCAGACCCAGGCTCTCAAACACATAGAAACCTACATCCCTCAAGTTTTTCCATTTTAATCTGGATCTTCAGCAAGTTTAAACACAGTGCCTAAAAAATATGTCACACACAAATTTGAAAATAAAGTTTGATTTGATTACTTAAAAGTTTTTTTGGGGGGTTGTCATTATATCAGCTAGTTATATAATTCCTTTTTCATTTTCCGATTTTGTCAGTCATGCCCTTTTCCCAGACTGAAAATTAAAGATTAAAAAAAAAATCTGCTGATTTGATTTCAGCTCTCCTTTTGTGGGTTGTAGATGATTTTTCCAAGATTACCCTATCTCCCTCTCTGTCACCAATCTGTAACTGACAAGCCTGAAGGAGAAAATGCTAGCTATTTTCTGTCAGCATAAGGGACACACTGTAAGTTAGTCCTTAACAGGTCAACAGATGAGGAAACAACAGTAAATATCAAGCTTTAATTTTTTCTTTCTTACTTTCAACATGTCCAGTTTAATAAAATAAAATAATAACAACTTAGACTACTATACATTCCTTTAACTTTTTTAGAAGACAGTTGATTTTGGCATCTTCCTCTTCCCTTCCCTACCATGTACCATTTTTGTTTCCATAATCTCTATAAAACACTCAGATTTTTTGGACCATTAAATTTTCAAAGTTTAATAAGTGAACAGGAAACATTTTCTCCCGTGCTCACATTTAAGGTAGTATGACGAAGCAGAGAAGACATAAAGTTGTAAAGAAATGATAGTTTTTATGATACAAACAGGAAAGGAATTCAAGTTCAGCTTGAAGCTTGGCAAGACACGACAGAGGGCTCAAGGTGATCTTCAGAAGATAATTGCTGGTGGAATTTTCCAATACCAACACGTATGTTTATTTTAGTGACACTGTTGTAATTATCATTATTTTGAGAAGGAACAGTTCAAGCTGCCCTACATTCAGGGGCTTCTAATTCCTTTTGCAGAAATGGTATTAAAGACAAGTTTAGTTAACACCTAATATAATTTAGTTCAATGATTATGGTGACCTTGTCTTATAAAAATTTTATTTAGAAATATCAGCCATTTGTATAGACCCAGGACTCTTGTATCACCTGCAGACTTCTAGTTGCTTCAGTCCAAGAAGACAGAGCAGCACACAGAGCAACAACATAAGCCAGCAATCTGTAAGACATTTTATCATTCAATTGCTATTGTGTTTGCTACATAAGATCATATAGATTCCTTTTGTTATTTTTACAATTTTTTCCCTTATAAAAAGATTCGAATTCCAATAGGTATTTTTTTCTTATACATTCCCCCCCCCCCCACTGTAAATCAAGGTTCAAATGCCAACAGATAGTTTTCCTGGATAAAAAGAAATGATATGTGTTTGGTGCCGTGAAGTACAACTACGTGAGCCTTATTCGTCCTCTGGCATGTTCTGTTCCCTGATCTCACCCCAGCCGAGTCTGCTTTGAAGTTGTAGACAAATTAAATCAACCTCTTGGATCCCATGTGTCCCAAAGAATGTGGTTCCCCAGGTATGAGAAATCTATCAATCCCCTACTCTCCTTTCACTTTGGCATCTTGACAAGCCCTAGCCAATTTCTTAGGCTGATATTTTATTTTATACCTTTGTCACAGCAGCTGTGACTCAGTTTCAGAATTGCCTGTACAAAGTGTACCTTTTCATGTAACAAGGGATTGGTGCATTTCTTGATGATTGTGCAAACATTCCTAATTATGTCTATAGGTAAACATACCGCTGTCTTCTTAGAACACTGAGAAGTACAAAGAATGTTTATGTGCAAGTCCAGCCGTTCCAAGTATCTCTTGTTGGTTTAGACACACCTGGTTACCATCCCCCTTATTGGCCAAGAAAGTTGCCCCACCTGATTTGTAAGTTTACCTGTTAATGGTGGGGAGGGGGGGGGCTCAGCCAGTCAACACTGGATCTAACCTAGCTGGAAGTAGCAAAGCCGTGCTTATTTGACAAACCACTGGGTTCTGAGTTCATTGCTAGAGGAAAACTGTTCTCTCCTGGGGCACAGAGCACCTTGCTTCAGAGCAGTCCTGCTAGCTCGGGAGTCCAGTCAGCCAAACTCATCCCAGAGGGGGATGGCTACCTCTGCCCTGCAATACGCCGGACTGGTGCTTGGTGGTGTTGGCATGGTGGGCACAGTGGCTGTCACCATCATGCCTCAGTGGAGAGTGTCTGCCTTCATTGGAAGCAACATTGTGGTCTTTGAAACCATCTGGGAAGGACTGTGGATGAATTGCATAAGGCAAGCTAACATCAGAATGCAGTGCAAAATTTATGACTCCCTGCTGGCTCTGTCTCCGGACCTACAGGCATCCAGAGGACTCATGTGTGCTGCTTCCGTGCTGTCCTTCCTGGCTTTCATGACGGCCATCCTGGGCATGAAGTGCACCCGGTGCACTGGGGACGACGACAAGGCGAAGGGTCATGTCCTGCTCGTGGCTGGAATCATGTTCATTATCACAGGTCTGGTGGTGCTCATCCCTGTGAGCTGGGTTGCCAACTACATCATCAGTGACTTCTATAACCCAATAGTGGATAACGGCCAAAAACGTGAGCTTGGAGAAGCCCTCTACCTAGGCTGGACCACGGCGCTGGTGCTGTTGGCTGGAGGGGCTATATTCTGCTGTGCTTCTTGTGGCGAGGAAAAGAGCAGTAGCTACAGATACTCCATACCTTCCCATCGCACACCCCCAAAAAGCTATCACGTGGAAAAGAAGTCACCAAGCGTGTACTCCAAAAGTCAGTATGTGTAGTTGTGTGTATGTTTTAAACCCATGCAAATGACTAAAATGTCCACTATTTTCCAAAAATGGAACCTAAAGGAACATTGACTTGCCATTCTTAAGTGCTGAACATTAATTGCAGGAACTGTGCATCAGCTATTTATGATTCTATAAGCCGTTTCAGCAGAATAATGAGATACACAGTGCTTTGATGGTTTTAGGAAGTGCAGTCAGTTTTCTAAAATGGTTCATGCGTCTTTTCCTTTTATCAGTTACTTCAAAATGACATTGTTAATGACTATTATTTTATAACTGTGATTTCTCTATGACAGCATTCTGTACGTAGATGAGAGTGACGTTTATATCTCACATAAATAGAGACAGGCTTATATGGTTGTATTTTAAATGAAACACTGATCCATTACACTGAATAAATAGAATTCAACTATTGCTTTTTAGGGAACTCGGGGATAAGGCTGAAGATGGTTAATATTAAATGTTTAAAAACAGCTTAGCAATTAATGCACTTGATTTATAATGAAGATTAAAAAGAAGGCTTTAATCAGCTGTATAAAGGAAACTAAATGGCTTTTTGATATCCTGTTTTCCTAGCTTCTTTATACTTTTTCCCTAGAGGCCTTCCTTTTCTTGTATATTAAATGAACATTTTTTAAAAGGCAGATATTCTGTTAAGAGGCTTTGCATTCAAATGGCTTTCCAGAGCTATGCTAAGAAGAAAGAGAAAACTGGGATCTATGTAAACATGAAAGACTTCAGGAAAGTGAAAAATTTTCTTCCTCTTAAATTTTTGTGGTTGGGGAAAGAGGCATTTTGACAAGAAATCATATGTGTATGTGAATATTTTAATAACTACTTAAATAAAGACTTTGGGTTTTTATCAATGTAAATAACAGGACAGGAAAATAATGTATTGTTTTGTTTGCTCTCCAAAAAATAAAAACAAACTGTACTTTATGAACTCCATCTTCTCCTATGTGGATTCCTACGTCAAAATTGTCATCTCAGTTGTCAAGATAAATTTTTTACTTATTCTATTTTTATTCGGTTTTGCTAAGGTATAGAAATATGATATCTTTGTGTTTCCCCCAAATTTGATGCAATTGTTCATCCAGTTTGAAAGTTTATATCTACATTTTTCCAGTTTAAGTGACTATGTATATTATCTGCTTTATATCCTTTGTATTAATAAATTTTTCTTTTATATTAATTTGATATTTTTTCACTATTCTCCATTTTTTTGGTTTCATTTTTATTAACTTGTAAAGAGTTTTTGAAAACCTGATATTTTGGGATCTCTAATTTTCAAAAGAATATTGAAGCCACACTTGAAAGATAAAGGTAGATTTAGCATTAATTTTTGAGAATAGAAAATACTATATTTCACTTAACAATACTGTACCTTTGAATCACTGAATTCATACACTAATATTTGATGCAGATAATATATTTGTAATGTATTAACATAGTATTGTAGGTCTCAACAAATCTATATAATATAAATATTATGTATGTAATAGCCATCTCTGTAAAAACTTTCCATCACTGAATACATTTCTACCTTGAGAAATAGTATCAATTAATAAGAATGGTTAATGTTTGTGGGGCATGGATTATATGCTAGGACCTCTACTGTTTTACATGCATTATATCATTAAATCTTTTATGAGATTGATATGATTAGTTCAATTCACAGATGTGGGCATCTCGGAACAGCTCATTGGTTACCCAGTAGAGTCAAGAGCAAGAAATAGGGACTGTCTGACTTCATAGGTCATGTTCTTTCTCTTCAGAAAAAGAGTTTTTCTTTAACAGTGTCCAGTTTATAAATTGATCTTTGCATGTGGAAATGACATGTTTAGCTACTGTTAGTTGGGAACATTTTAGTGTTTTTTTCTGGGCTTGGTGATTTTTCCAATAGCTAAGCACTAATTTGTCCTAGGTAATTTGGCCATATAGGGTCAAATCATTGATGAGAACAGGAAAAAGAGAACTAACTGAGCACTTTGCAGAAGCAAATCCAATCTTCTAAGTACTGTCTTTAATCAAACATCCTTTTTACCTAGAAAGCCCGCTTGAATGACCCAAACTCAATTTATTATTTCCCTCTTCTTTTTCATAAAACAGAATCATAACAGTGCTGGTTTCCTTTTGGCATCAACTCGAGTATCTCTGCAATCTTTCTCTAACTTTCCACACTTAAATGTCATCTCATTTCTTTCATCTATAGATGAAGAAGCCTTCTAGACTTGTGTTACTGCCTGTGGCACTTTCTTCCTCCAGCTACTTTCCATGTCCCCATCTCAGTTTTTTATAGATTGCAAGCCGGGCCCCATAACTCTCTGCCTGTATTTCTCATAGGAATGCTCCCTTGCCAATAAGGAGAACTATCTTATAATCATTACAGCAAGTTTTATCACACAGTAACATCAGAGTATAACCATTTCTGAAGTTGATGTCCAGAAACTAGAATAATTCACATGTCAGAGGCCTTCTTTACCATCCTCAAAGAGATGCACTGGAATCAAGAAATGGTTTGATTGGGGGCAAATTACATACAGGTGGACAATTTATAATGTAGCTTTATAATGTAGTTTTACGGGAAACAATGCCATGTGATGGAAACAATACAGGGACGCAGAGGACAAGGTTTGATCCCATCGCTATATAGCTACCCTTTTTTCTCTTCCACACGGTACTACGTGCTTCCCCCACCGTGAACCCCTTCTGCGGATTCTGTACCCAGAATGACGCCCTCATATTGCAAAAACAGTTATAATATTAAGCTATATTATGCTAAGAGCTAGGGATACAGAGTTATTGTTTTCAAGGAATTTACAGTCTAACAGGGAAAGAGTGAGAAATATAACCTTTACTACATGCCTACCATGTGCTTGGTGCTTTCTCTTTAAGTTATCAATCCTCTAAGAATTGTATGAATTACATACGAAATCATGAAAACACTGAGTCTCAAAGAAGAGATATAAATATAGATAATCAATCTCACCTATATAGTATTCATCTCAAAGAGATTAAATATATGTATATATGTCCCCTAATTCAGGAGCCTGTGCTCTTCCTACTGCGATATCCACCCCATGCGTCCTTCCCAGAGTCAACCTTCTGACCAACAAATGGCACATCACCACCTTTTCCACAAGGCTTCCCTGTGACTCACTGGTTACAGCGCTCCTTCCACCTGAGTCCCAGGGTCAACCGAACCACCAGTCTTTGCCACACTTTAGGTCCCCTTGTTCCCTGCTCTACCTAATTTACTGATTTTTAGTTCCTGACATTCATTTCCTCTTCACTTGGCCTGAAATGTATGTTTTTAGACTCCTATCTTAGGCCTTCTAGTTTAAATTCGCCAGCTCTTTCCTTGTCCTGAGAAAGCCTCCCTGAGCTGCTTAAACAGAGTCCCTGCAGCCCCCTCCCCCAGCCCTGACCTCAGAACAATGCCAAGTAGAGCTGCAGTTGGGACCCAGCCAACAGGCAGAGCCCAGAGGCCGATTTTCTGCAAAGTTTCTGGTTCTGCCAGTTTCCAGGAGGAAAGAGCACACTGTGTTCAGCTCCAAGAGTAATGAGAAGCAGGGATTCCTGGAGCAGAGGCCTGAGGCTGGGCCTTAAGCTTCACGGGCATGAGGCTGTGGGGTCTACCTGCTTCACAAAGAGTCCCGGGAGGAGGGAGGCATTTGTACAACTGTGTCATTTTATGGAGATAATCTCAGGGCCTGCAAAACTGCAGACTCATGCAGGGACTGGATTCCTCCTTAATCTGGAGCCTCTGAGAGCAGCGTAACTGACAGCGAGGGTACAGGGCACAGACTGCTGGGGCACAGAGGTCACTGCCCAGGGCTCCATAGCGAGGCAGCAACTTCCAGGAGGTCACTAGATTGCCAGCCAACAGTGAGAATTCCTGCCAGCCTACGGTTAGCTATTACTAATTACAATAACTTAACTTAACTGCCACAACAAGGTCCCTAGAATCACGTAAGAGAACACCAAATGGGACTCAACAGCCAGGAAAAGGAAGTGTGAGCTGAACACCCATAACTGGCAGGCAACCTTTAAAGAAATGGATCTCCTGGGAGAGAGGACATCGTATACAAAAAAATAAATATCTGTAAGAGCCTGAAGCAAATCAAAGGACAGGATCAAAAGGCTTCTTGTAACTAAAATAACAAGATTTTCACATTTAAAAAGTCTTCAGGGAGCTGAGAGTTGAAGGATGTCACTGCTGAGGTAAAAATTGGATGTTTGGAAGATCAAGTGAAAGAAGAGCTAATGTAGAAAAAGATATAATCCATGAGAAAAAAATATAAAGGGCTTGGAGAATAAATTCAATGACCTAAGAGGCAAATTCAGAGAGAGGGATAAAAAAACAAACAAACAAACAAAAACACAGATGAAAGGAGGGGCAATCACTTAAAAAAATATCAATGCTTAAAAAAAATGCTCAAACTTTCAAATAAAAAGGGCTTACTGAGGTCTTGGGAGGAAAAAGGTGTACTTAAATTTTTAACTTCTAAGTATCCAAGCTTCCACCAGTCATGACAAATTACTTAACAACAAAAACAAAATATCATATCTCCATCAAATATTTTAACTACAAACCTAGAAGCTAGAATTAACCAGGAAAGGATTAACAAGAAAAGACAATGAGAAAGCAAGGTCCCTCACCCAATAAATCTATTGCCAACAAAAATTGCATTCTCCTGTTAGTGAGAAAGGAAGGCATTTTGTGGCTGGTCCAGGATCCAGTACAGCTGATCCAGAGGAAATACTAAAGCAACAGATAACTAATGAGGCTGCAAGAGCGGATAGCCGGAGAGGAGAGGAACCTTGGTCAGCCATGACTCTGGAAATAAACGGAAGGAATTCGTTGGACCAGAGTTGGGAGGAGGGTTTGAAGTGTTCAGGCTGCCATCTTGTGGAACTCCTCTCAACATCACACTGCAGACGACTACTATGAACATGTCAAAGTTTAACCTCAAGTTCAGAACTACTGCTTTCCCAGTCCTACAGACGAGTTCAACATTTTCAGCATGGAAAACAAAATAAAAAACATCTAATGATCTAGCCTCTTTTTTCTTCTGCTATTCTGCCACAGGCTCCACAGTGCTCATATTTAAGCCTTGTCAGGCTCCATGTCATTTCTTCGCCTTCCAGGAATTCTTTCTTCCAGACCTTGAGCATCTGCAGTGCCCTCATCATCCTTTATGCCAGGTGCTATTGAGACCTTGATGCTGCCCATCCTGGCACCCTCTGGCTGCACCCATTCAGCACCCTTGGGCCAGGTGGAGTTCAGTGTCAGCCCAGTCCAGATGCACACCAACAACCAACTGACCCCACCTGTCCACTCTGGGAAGGAAACTTAGTCTTTGTTAGATGAAGAACTCTATGGGCTCCCTGTTTGTCCCACAAATGACCCTCGATTGTGAAGCCTCTCTCTGCCCCGTATTTCTAAAACGACTGGCTATCCTTTCCTTGACTCCTCTTCCTATGTCAGTAAATACACATGGAATTATTGGAAGCAAAAAGAACCTTTTATAAAAAGACAAAAAATATATCAGAAGTGAACATTTTCCTGATTCAGGAAAACATGTATATGATCTTTCTTACCATCCATACATTTAGATATTTCTTGGTTTTTCTCCTGATACCCCATTGCCCTTAACCACCAGCCTCTAAAATGGTTAACTGTGTTGACGGGAGTCCTTCTGTCTTTGGTTCTTTCTGCTTTTTGTAACTGATGTGTGAGAGGAGTGCTGGGAAGGAAGGAGACCCATTGCTAAAGGTATTTGCTTTTGTCTGCAACCTTGTAAGAATATACTTGTGCGAGCATCATAAATGAATGATTTTTCTCCCTTGGGCCAGGTTCCCTGTTTTTTATTTTTATTTATTTATTTATTTATTTATTTATTTATTTATTTATTTATTTATTTTTATTTGAAACTAGAGATTTGGGTAGATATCTCTTCATATCTATATGGGGATCCTCTTTGAAGAAAGAACTGTTACTTATTAAATGCTAAATTGTGGAAATGCTTTGGAAATTAAACTATTCTCCAGCTTGAAAGCTGAGAAACCTTCCAAGAGAAATGAAGTGCACTGTTTTAGCCCAAATCTTGACGTAATGATTTTACTTTTATCAAAGGAAGAATGAAGAGAGAAAAACAGATTCAGCATTAGGAACTGTTATGGGTGTTTCTTGC